CTGGAACATTTCCACGAGACTCCCAGGCCTGACCACCACTGTGTGCAGCCTCAGGTGGCAAGGCGGCAGACCAGCTGACCAGTGTCTAGGGGTGGGGAGGCTCTCCTTCCCTCTTGAGAAATGGAAGCTTTGTCTGTGCAAACTCTCCAGCTGTGAAAACTCCAGCACGGCTTTAAAGATTAATGGCATTACTTGCAATGAATGGGAAAGGCAAACTGCTCTGCTCCACAAGGATTAAGTCTTAGACTAGGAGCAAACTGTCGCCAGCCTCTGCAGTGAAGTTATCTCCCGGAGAACACTCAGGCAGTTTCCTGGTGCTGGCCACCAACGTTTTCTAGTTAGTAAGATTACATCCCATCCGGACAGCACACAGAGGGGTGCTCAGTTCCTTGTCTCTCTCTCCTATATACACAAACACTTGCACTTGTGTGAGAAACACACACTGACTCAGTGTCTGACAGAGGAACAGACAGAGCTGATAAGCAGAACAGGGAAGTGTAAAGTACATTCTAGCACAACCAGCATCGTGACCACTAGTGTATGGAAGCCAGAACATAAGGCATATCACTTGCCCTTTCCTGCATCTGGCTGGAAATGCTGCAAATACAAGGGAAACAGGGAGCAAAATTCATTAGCTAATGAGGACCTTAAATGTCAGTTTAATAGCAGCATTAATAATAAAGCAAGGTTTTATTGGGTTAATAGAGGTTAAGTGGTAATATTAGTAAAATGGTCATTATAGATTTTCTTCTTTGCAGGCCATGAACAGAGCCTTCTGAAAGCACAGATTATAACTCCCTCCTCTGCATTTGCTGTTTCTTAAAAGAGGCATTTCTAAGGGTTTTAAAGATTATGCCCACTTTTTGCCTTGCCCCTGTTTGAGGCAGGAGTCTAGTAGCTGTGTCTTTAAAGAAGCCCTTACAGGGAACTCTGTCGGTTGTTCAAGGCTTGCTGCCAACAAACAATTGAGGTATTTACCGAGGGTTTCCAAGAAATTGCTGCAAATCATATGAAATATTATACCTGTAACAGGCATTCAATGTATTAGGAACAGGAAAAAAGTGTAACATGTGTGGGAACAGTGTTGCAATTTGTGAGAAAGTGTTCAGTAATGTAGGTAGAGATGAATCACACTGATGAAAACAGAAAGGAAGTTGGATGATGTGGCACTTTTGAACAAATTTTTCATCATCTGTCTAGAATTACTGAGGAGAAACTTCTAACATGAACTAGTGGAAAGGCTCACAAGGAAACGAAGACCCTGAGGGGTCTGCAGATGCTGGTCCAGGGGGTACCCTCCGTGCAGAAGGAAACCGAGGCCCCACACTCGACCGGAGGCCCTGATTCAGCCCAGGCCACCTCGTGGGTGGGGTGTGCCTTTAGGAGTCTTCATCACTGAATACCTCTATCTGATTATGGTTAACACCATTTCTTTTTTAAATGAGAAGGACGGTTAATGACTTCAACTTAACAGAGAGGGCTCCTAGTACAGCTCCTAGGAGGAACGTTTTTTCCTCAGTTTCCTGAGGTGAAACGCCTAGGAAATCTGATGAACCGACTTCCTCACCTTTGCAAATAAATAAAGGAGAAGAAGACTCGGGGAGTGAGGACCTGCCCTGGCCTTAAGGGAGTTCCGGGGCAAGGCCTTGTGTGTGCAGGGCAGAGGTCTCAAGAGGCGCGCCCTGCCCCAGGTCCCCAATGGTGTCAGCTGCGTCTGCAGTGGGGCCAGTCTCTGGATGGACCTCCATGCCGGGCTTATTTGTCTGGCTCTTGGGGCCTCTGGCTGTTCCTGAAGTCCTTGGTTCTGGGCACTTGCCTCCAGCTGTGAAATCCTCCCACACAGGAGAGTTGTGCCTCTTGATGCAGACCTCTGTGGAGGCCCTTGCCTCCTCACTCCTGGGTCCCTCCCCAGAGCCGCCTTAGCCAGACCCTCCAGCTGCACAGGAGCTTCCTCTTCACTTCCCCAGGAAGCTGCCCCAACCCCAACATGCAGGCTCTTGGAGACCCTGGCCGACACCTTCACGACCCCGCCTTCCCTAGTCTTCTCCTGCTTGCTTCTAGCCTAGCATCACCCCCAACTTGTCCAGAGGACTTGACCTGTGTAGCATTTCCCTTGACCCAGGTGTGTAAACCTTCAGGCCCAATCTTTATGGAAAACAGGTTATTCTCTCTATTTTAAGCAACACGCACTCCCATTGAGTCTACAGGTGTGCAGCTAAGGCTGCTGACCTAGGAACTGATGGGTACCTAGGAGCCAGGAAATGGAGGAGGACAAAACATAATTTAAAAAACTAAGATCATGGCGTCCAGTCCCATCACTTCATGGCAAACAGACGAGGAAAAAATGGAAACAGTGACAGACTGTTTTCTTGGGCTCCAAAATCACTGCGGAGAGTGACTGGAGCCATGAAATTAAAAGATGCTTGCTCCTTGGAAGAAAAGCTATGATGAACTATGACGGTGTATAAAAAAGCAGAGACATCACTTTGCCAACAAAGGTCTGTTCAGTCAAAGCTATGGTTTTTTTGACAGTCAGGTATGGATGTTAGAATTGAACCATAAAGAAAGCTGAGCACCGAAGAATTGATGCTTTTGAATTGTGGTGCTGGGGAAGAAGACTCTTGAGAAGTTGGGTCTCAAAACCTGTCTTAAGAAATCCGCAGCACTGTTATGGATGTGAAGAGCCAACTCATTGGAAAAGATCCTGATGCTGGGAAAGTTTGAAGGTAGGAGGAGAAGGGGATGGTAGAGGACGAGGTGGTTGGATGGCATCATTAACTCAATGGATATGAGTCTGAGCAAGCTCCAGGAGCTAGTGAAGGACAGGGAAGCCTGGCATGCTGCAGTCCACAGGGTCGCAAAGAGTTGAACGTCATGACTGAGTGAACAACAACACACCACTTATGTGCTTTTAAATCAGATTTTAGTCTAGATGAGGAAACAGAGAAGTTTAAAGTAAGTCAGAAAATACTGAAATCACTATGTCAAAAAATTGAACATCTGTACCTAGCTAGATTTGTGCTTTATGGACATCATTGTGAATTATGAGGCTGTTGCTGAATTTGGGGGAACTTGGCATTTGTGGCTTATGGTCTTACTGGAAAGCCCTTTGGCTGATTTTTGAGTCTGTGATTCATGATTATGAGTTCTGCATTTTTCTCAAGACCACTGTTGGAATCCTGTGTTCACTGTATAATGAGTATTTTATTTTTAGATGTGGATCACCTACCCAGGGAGCCTGTGGGAAGGTGGGTAATGAACTATATCTGGCACAAATCACAAGTGCCAAAGAAAGTACTGATATCCAAAGAATACCAAGAGTGACCACTATTTAACTGCAGAGATGATATCTCTCCTGTAAGATGGCACTTTAAATTGTGTAATATTTCATCATTTGGTCATCTTAGCAATGAAGAAAGATCCAAGGTTTACCCAAGCATGCTTATTTTCTATCCCTAATTCTTGGGTTCATTTGTTTAAATGAAGGCCTGAAGTTCCCTGTCAGGCCGAGGGAACTACTGTGCTGACTGGGAGTTTCATTAAAACAAAAAAAAAACCCCAACACACTAGTGACTAAATAATAACACCGTTTACACAAATATTTGTTGTGTGGTCATTTCATCAGCTTTCGTTACCTTAGCTGTTTTAAGAAGTGCATAAAATTCAAAATCCATCATAGAGAAGCCGGTTCTCAAAAACTGTCTTTAGAAATCCACGGCACTTTTATGGATGGATGATGTTAAAAAAAAAAAAAAACAGACTCAGATTAGAGACACTAACTGATGAGTTTCCACATAGAATGTAAATAAAAGCGTATTAACATCGTCTACCATTTCTTCAACATCCTTTAAATGCTGCCAGTGTTAGAAGGCTGACACTGAGTAGAGCTTTTTCTTTCTTTCTTTCTTTCTTTTTTTAGCTTAGAAACTAGCAGCAGAGAACAAGGTAGCTGAATTCACGGTTCATTCTGCAGTCATGCACGTTTCAAACGGCTCCTGAGCTGTTTAGGCTATACATACTCGCTCGTACCCACAGAGCTGCGGGAACAAAGATACAGTGTGAATCGGCGGGACGCAGGGAAGGTGGCCGGAGAGGTCCGCCTGGCTGGAGGGCTGGGCGTGGGGAGGCGGGTGTGTCTGAGGACAGTGTGTGCAGGAGGAACGTGCGGCTCGTCCTCCACGAGTGCAGTGTTCGAGGACCAAGAAGCCCCTTCTTAGAAATCCCTGCTAAGATCCACGCTGGCGCAGCATCTCGCGGCAGCCGGAGGATGGGCGAGACGGCCTCGGGCCAGCGCCGCGCGCCGTGGCAGGGATGCCCAGAGCGGGCTGGCGGGGCGGGCCGCCAGGCGGGTAACGGGCGGCCGGGCGCCTAGCTCCGGGCCCCAGGCGGCGCCGAGCCCGGCCCACGCCCCCTCCGCCCCGGGCCGCCGCAGACCGCGCGGGCGGGGCTCCGAGGTGGGCTTTCTTTTTCGGGCAAACTTTCGCCACGTGAACCGCCCCCCATTCACCGCTGCGCCAATCGCGCGGCGCGGACGGGTCCCGAGCGGGGCCAGAGCGCACCGCCCCCTGCGCGCCGTGCGTGACGTGCGGCGCCCCCGCGGCGATAGCGCGCGGAGCCGGACGATGAGCAGCGGCCGCGCCGGCGCCGGCCACGGACAGCAGCGCGCCGCGCGCAGCGCTAGCGGAGCTGAGCGCCCGGGGGGCGCCGCGCGGGGAGCCGAGCCGGCCGAGGGGCGCGGGGCGCGGGGCGCGGGCGGGGGGCCGCGGCCGGCGCGCGCCGGGCATGCTGCGCCCCTGAAGGCGGGGGCGCGCGAGCGGGACCGAGCGCCGGCGCGGGGCCTGCGGGCGGCCCGCGCTCCGCGATGGGCACGGCGGGCCCGCCGCAGCCGCGGCGCTGCCCGGGCGGGGCCGTGTAGGGCGGGCTGGCCTCGGCGGGCGGGCTGAGGGCGCGCGGGGCGGCGGCGGCGGCGGCGGCGGCCCGGCGGGCGGAGCGGCGCGGGCATGGCCGTGCGCGGCCGGCGCGCCTGGCTCAGCGTGCTGCTCGGGCTCGTGCTGGGTTTCGTGCTGGCCTCGCGGCTCGTGCTGCCCCGCGCCTCCGAGTTGAAGCGGGCGGGCCCGCGGCGCCGCGCCAGCCCCGAGGCGTGCCGGCCCGAGCAGGCGGCCGCGGTGCCCCTGGCCGGCGGGGCGCGCGGGGATGCGCGCGGGCAGCGGCTCTGGCCCCACGGCGAGGCCCAGGATGGCATCCCGCGCGACAGGAACTTTCTCTTCGTGGGAGTCATGACCGCTCAGAAGTACCTGCAGACCCGCGCGGTGGCGGCCTTCAGGTGAGCCCCCGCTCCCGGGCGGCGTCCTGCATCCGCGCGCGCTGTCCCGCGGCCCGCCGGCGGCGCGCGCCTCTGCCTGCTTCCCAGACCCGGTGCTCGCTGGGCTTCCGTGGGGCCGCTGTGCCCCGCGGGGCGTGCCCGGCGTTGGCAGCGGGCTCAGGGGCTGTATAGTGAGCGCAGCGCTCAAAAGCAGGGGCTTTGGGGTCCAGCGGACCAGCTTGGCCCCTCTGGATGTAGTCTTCCCGCGGACTTTCTGCTCCGCACTTCATCTTTTCTTCTCCAAGTCCTTTCCTTTGTTGAATGAGCAAGACTGAACATTTCCAAACACTCGAGTGGAAAACTCAGCACAATACTGGTTATAGTGGCGGCAGCGGGGGTTATTATTCGAGTCTCTGAAACCTGCACTTTTAGCCTTGCAGAACTAGAGCCTGTGTAAATTAATTTGGTTAGAGGCCTTCCACTTGCAGTTTTCACTGTTGGAACTATTCTGGTAAATGGAAGGGGTACACGCTGCACATCAACCCCACCAGACTGTTTTGTAATTGGAAAGAGAACCTTTGGGAAAAGCAATTCTTGGCTTATGTTAAGATTTGTTGTTAACTAGCCCAATTTAGTGACGTGTGTGTTATCCGGTATCTGGGTCCTAGTTGGCCATATGAGTCAGAAAAGTGGCTGGAATCATGTTCAGGATTAACAAAGGGATTAGCCAAAGTAATCTTGAGAAGAGTGAAAGAGAGATGATATTGGAATGAATTTGAGGTAGAAGAAGGATGTATTAATAGATTCAGTAAAGAGATTTAATGGAAACCTTATATGTGTGAAGTACAGAAATGCTTACCCTACAGATAAGATTTGGTATTCATCCAACCACAGAGCAAACCAACCTGAGAGGTCTGCTGGGAATGGACTCTTAGAGCAGTTATTACTGAGCGAGGCCAAGCTGGTTGTTGTTGGTTCTTAGTTTATAACCATCACCTTTATAACTTCAGCTTTTAACTGTAGTCCTGGTCTAAATTTTCAGGCATTAGATGTTGTGAGGAGAAAAGCATATTTGGATCTCTGTTCCTCTAAAGGAGGAAATAAAGGGTTGAAAAGGAAGGTGAAAGAGCAATAGAGAATGTCTGCCTTTTCAGTGCATTGATTCCCCATTCCTGTGTATTTCCACTGGGATCTAGTTTAAGCCCATAACCTAGGTTCTGCCAGAAGGGGACTGAGTGCCTAAAAAAGTTAGAAAAGGTAGCATAAATTTGACTAAGATCATGACTTGGGAACAAACGTGCACATCATGGTTTTCTCCCAGATCTGTTGAATTAGGTGGAGTTGTGCTTTTTGTTGTTTTGTGGGTTGTTGTCCCCCCCCCCAACTGAAGTATAGTTGATTTACCGTGTTTCAGGTGTACATCAAAAAAGCATTTGATTTTTGAAAAAAAAGAATATATAATCAGGAATTGAGGAGGAGCTGTATACATTGTTTACAGCATGGTTTTTAAAGTAAATCTATATGACTCCCATTTGGTGACAAGTTCTTTGAAATCACAAGTGTGGGACAGTTACCAGAGTGGTTTGTTCAAATAGTGGATGTGTAACTCCCTGCCTCCCAAGCAGATACTTTTTCGTAGATACAAAATCACAAACTAGAAGGGGTCTGGTAACACCAGCAATACTCAGAAAATGGTGTGCAAACTGGATATTATTTAACAGTTGGAAATGATCTTTCCCCAAAACCCATGCTTGAGGCTCTATGCTTGGCCTCCTTTCCAAATCTCCTACCTCATCTTTTTTGGATGTAGGATTTTATCTCATTGTTTATTTTCTTTAAGACAGCTAGGGAAAAATAGAAACATAATTTGTCCTTTGACCCTTCTTTGTGGAAGTTCTGCCTTTTTGATAAAAACCCTTACCAGGAAATGGTATATTCTATTCAGTCCTTCTGTCAGCTTTCCTGCATACTTTTTCTTGTATCTCTCTGATCTTAAGTAGTCACATTAGTTGGAGCCTGGGGGTGGATCTGCCTTTCTGGTTAAGGTCCTCTGCTTCTCAGCCTGTCAACATTGTGATTAGACTGGCTGCTGGAGATGACACAAGACGATTTTAGCCTTAAAGAACTTTTGGGGAAAGCCAAAATTGGGATGGAGGTTATAGGATGTAACTTATAATTATGGCTTTGCTGTGCTTTGCAGCCTGGGCCAAAAGTCCACACTCAGCTCTTAAACTGGAAATTTCATGCAGTATAAAAGTTGGCTTGAATCTTATAGCACAGGGTAGAACTCTAGTTTGGCACTGGGTTCTACATTTCCGCTGAAAGGTGAATACATTCTTTACCTTAGGGAAAAAGTCAATGTTTTTGTTTATTAAAGTAAAATTTTTGTTCGGCTTCTAGGTTGAAGGAGATGGCAATGTTTTTAAGAGATGGCACTGTGATGTACTTTTATGCTAGGATGTTGCCGATGTCAGAATTCAGATTTAGGGACTGCTAGCTGTCTTAGATTCAGAAAGGAGCTAAAAAGCCTTTGAAAAATTCAAGGAGATAAACTTGTCTGCACTAAAGTTGGTGCACTTAAGTGATGGGAGAGCACCATCATTACAGACTTTTCAGTTCTGCTGTATGCTTCCAATGAGGAGAGGGAGCACCAATAGATGTTAGCAGTGCAGCGATAGCTGAAAGCAGGCGAAGCAAAACTCAAAGTGTGACCTTCAGACAGGCCAGCAGTAGTGCTCCTTCACAGGCACTGAGCAGATACCATAGCTCTTGTTCACGGGAGTGATCTTGGTTCATCAAAATGATCCCATACACTTAGGTTTCATCCCTTCATTCAACAAATACGTGCATGGTGCCTTGGGTCTGGACTCTGAATGTTTGGGAACCCCAAAGTGAAGATGCTTGTTCTCATGGAGCTTCTGTTCTAGTGAGAGGGACAGATACTTAAAAAGAGGGTTTCAGCTAGAGATAGGTACCGTGGAACAATAGAGCAGGGTGAAGTGATGTCCTCTCTCCGTTAGATGTCTGGGGAACACCTCCGAGAATGCGGTGTTTGCTGAGATCTGGGAATGTCATTGATGAGCATGCTTGGCAGAGGGAAGAGCTGGTAAATTATAAGACAGGAATCAGTTTGGAACTTGAAGATGATCAATAAAAGAAAGAAGATGTGTGTCTGGTGTCATGGAATTTTCCTCTAAGTGAATTAGAAAGCCTTTGGAGGTTTTGGGCTTCCCTGGTAGCTCTGTTGGTAGGGAATCTGCCTGCAGTGCAGGAGACCCTGGTTTGATTCCCAGGTCGGGAAGATCCTCTGGAGAAGGAATAGACTACCCACTCCAGTGTTCTTGGGCATCTCTTGCGGCTCAGCTGGTAAAGAAGCTGCCTGCAATGCGGGAGACCTGGGCTCAATCCCTGGGTTGCGAAGATCCCCTGGAGGAGGGAAAGGCTACCCACTCCAGTATTCTGGCCTGGAGAATTCCATGGACTGTATGGTCCATGGGGTTCCAAAGAGTAGGACACAACTGAGCGACTTTCATTTGGACAGTTTAGATGGGAAAGGGATTATATGCATTATATTCTGAAAAGTTAATTCATGCTATTGTGTGAATAGGTTATGGGGGAGCAAGGAGCTGTAGGATGTGGTCTAGGTGAAGATGGTTGGGATGGAGAGAGGAGCATGGCCCCAAGATATATGCAGGAGCCAAGTTGGAGACATGTTGACAAAACGCCTCAGAGGCCATGAAGCAGAGAGAAATTTCAGGATAATTTCTAGGATTTTGCCTTGAAAGAAAGGGCGGGTGGTGGTGTCATTTATTGAGATGGGGAAAACTAGAGGAGGAATGAATTTAGGGGGAAGGAGGTAAGTCAGCAGAGATCTGGTTTTGTACAGGAGCGGGTAGATGTATCCTTAGTTTTATAAATGTAATGAATTTTAAAAGGAATTGAGAAAAGATTTATATCTGAAGTGATTACAGTATTGGAACTCTGAAGCTGTCTTAAATTAAAATTCCCTTATGGTTCTGGATAGCGTGGTGTTCTTCAAGTCAATATGTAAGATTTTTTTTTTTTAACTCATCTGCAAAATATTTGTATTCTAGGTAATTTCACTTTAAAATGGGTCTGTGATTCTTCCAAAGTAATTTAGTGTGCTGGTTAGTGACAGTTCATTGGAGCCTCCGGCTGGGTTCATTATGTCTTACTGTTACTAACCACAATTTTTTTTTTTCATATTTTTCTTAGTTACATCATTTGATATGCAGAAGTTAGATGTCCATGTAGTTCAGTCTCTTCCTTTCAGGAAGCGCAGAAAGTTTATTGCCCTGGAGAGGTTTTTTTTTTTGACTGTGCTTCTCAGCTTGTGGGATCTTAGTTCCCCAACCAGGGATTGCAGCTACTCCCTCTGCATTGGAAGCGTGCAGTCTTAACTGGTGGACAACCAGTAAAGTCCCAAGATTTTTTTTAAGAAACATTTTTCTCATTTTAAAAGGGGTACAAATCATCTCACCATCATTTTCACCCCCAATGATACATTGTCTCAGTACCACCTGTTAAATAACCTCCCATTTCCCTACCAGTTTGAAATGCCATCTTCATCATACTCAAGATTGTTGGGTATGTGTTTGGACTTCCTGTTTTGTTTCATTGATCTTTCTGTCTGTTCTTGTTCCAGTACCACCCACTGAAATTATTGAAGATTGAATAATATTTTAATATCCGGTAGACAAGTCCCCTTTGTTACTCTTCTGTTTCAAGCATTACTTGGCTACACTTACCTGTTCTTGCTGAGAGAATTTTGGTGCTGTTTGGATTTTTTTTTTAATTAATGGTTTGATTTTTTTTTTAATTTGTATTTAGATTTCAGTCTATTTTTATGCCCTGAACACTAAACTAATACAACACTATCTATTTATCTTGACTCTTGCTTCCCCTGGGCTGAAGATGGGGAACTGATTTGTTCTTTTTCTCAGAAGAGAGAGGTGGATGGTTTCCCTTCTTTGGCCCAGGAGTGATAAAGGGCGCTCTTA